CGAAATAGTTGTATGCTTATCAGAATTCAAAGCATATTATACATATATTTCAGATTTGACCTTCTCATATTTCTTGTTTTACTTATTTTCGATTTGATTTGTTCTTTCTTTTGTGTTTTACGCAAAATGCACCATCCATGTCTTTGTACTGCCCAAAATGTTGCAGATGTCTTCATTTATATGCGCACTTGTCTGTTTGATTTTTCTTCATTTTATCTGGCTTCACCTTCAAGTTCAGATATTCATTCTGAGTCTAATTTTGTGGCTTATTTTTTTTTATTTTTTTGATAAATTAGGTTTTATCTAAATTCACTTGCAGTTTGTAATGCACTCTATGTGCCAGAATATTATTATTATGATTGCTTTCTTAATTACGTTAAACTATCTGTATTTTATTAGCCCTCATTATAAATATTTGTAACAATTTCAACAAATCCTTTGACATTTTCAATATTATATTCTATGTAATATGACGCTGTGGAATTTTGTGTTCCTCTGGATGTGAACCTAAACTGTAGCCTCAAAAGCAATCTCAACCAGCATAAAAATAAATAGCTACTATAATGAGTGATAAACAGAATTGTTATTGTATCTATTACACAATTATCAGTTATCAATTAATAATTAATTTTGTCTTTTCCTCGAATGTATATGTGTTTATGTATATGAATAGATTCACACAATACATAGGAAATAAATGACTTCTTAAATAGCAGATACTAAATGAATTTCAATGCTTTTATTATTATGTAATGAAAAAGTACATAGGGTGCTAAGAGTTAAAATTAGACTATATAATTACTTATTTCCTTTGTGGTTGTGTGTGGCTGTGTTTCCATGTACACAATTTTTTTGTGCATTATTGATGCTGCATGGAAATAGAGATAAGAGAACAGTCAACTTGCAGTGATAAAATCTCCTCTTCTACTACGTGTGTCACAAGATTTGAACTCAGATCATGAGCCATCTCTCCATGGGTTTTTTACTTGCTCAGTCATACTACTGGCCCCAAAGCATTTCTTATAAGATCAGTGTATGTGTTTGTGAAAGACGGTATTATTTCAGTGGGTGTAGCCAACATGGTCTCTTTGCTAATATTCTAACTCCTCCCACTCTTCAATTGGACTTTGGGAGGTCAGCCCAGGGCTCCGCTACAGGATGCTGCCTCTGGTTCCATCAGTTTCTGGATATAGGTTCTATGATGACATTTAAGGAATTCATCCATCTGACTACAGGGCAAGTTCAGTTCAGGCACCCTCTCCTCTATTGCTCAGGGTCTTAGTTGGGGTCATCCTGGTGGATCCCTGGGAATTTACCCAGTGTCAGATTTCTTGCTAGCCCCCAAAAGGCTCCCTCTATCAAAATATCTCTTCCCTTGCTCTCATCTCTGTCCTTCCTCCATCTCGACTACGTTATTCCATCGAGTTCTCCTCCCTATTCCTCTTTTCCCCTCCTCTTACCCTCCTGTATACCTGAGCTAATGGGAACTCACCAACTCCAACTGAACAGCATAGGACCAAACTTGACCCTCTGAACGACAGTTGTATGGCTGGGTCAGGCTGCAGGGCCACTGACAGTGGCATCAGGATCTATCCCTCCTGCTTCAACGGGCTTTTTTGGAACCCATTCTCTTTGGATAGATACCTTGCTCAGCCTAGAAACAGTAGAGAGTGCCTTGGACCTTCCCCAAAGCAATTTACCTTACTCTGAGGAGTGGATTGGGCGGGGCGGGGATGTGTGTATTTGGAAGCAATGAGAGGAGGGGAGGTAGTGGGAACTGGGATTAGTGTGTAAAATGGAAAAGATATAGCTTGCTTTCTTTATTAAAAAATGAAATAAAATGTTGTAAATAAAGAAAGAAAGATGGTACTGTTACAAAATAAGTTTTCTGCTTACAAGATTAAAACGTTATAGCATTAACAAGCAAAATGGTAGTATTGGAGGTAGTACCCTGTGATCATTACATTTAAATTAATTGATGATTCTGGAAACACACTGATGGAAATTGTTGGTACTTGAGACAAGGGAGATATTATACTTGGTTTTAAGCTGTGGAAATCATTACCACATAGGTAAATGCATCAAGAGATGACCAATACCTTGAATTTCTAGCCCTAAATTTGAAGAATAAATTTCCAGAGTTCCAAACAATGGATCTATAGTAATTGTCATACCAGAGATGATCATAAGTATTATCGGTTAGAGTAGATAAGTACATTAAGACATCAAGGTTTAAATATATGGCATTTGGAGTTAGACAATATTTTTCTGTTTCAACCTTATATTCATTACAATGAGTAGTTTTGTACAAAATACATATTTTTAAAAATATTCTCTCTTTTGAAACATATTTGAATTCTTCTTTCTACAAAATCATTAGGCAACTTTATAGAACTATAAGTAAGTGGAAAATTTGTAGCGTATCTCAATAGAGTTTTTTTAAGCTGTCAGTTGATACAGTTTCTTGAAAATTTAAAGTAAGTAAATAATATTTATATATTTTATGTTCACCTGATGGTTCAGTGGAGTTAATAGTAACACCATTATGTTCATTATAGAAATCATGTCTTAAAGATTTTAATTTATGATTTCTAAATTAAATACTTTGACAAAATTGCTAATTATACAAAAATTCCAATTATTTTTAAACCTGTATTCAAATAGATATTTAAAACTTTATTATTTATTTTAGAATCTGAATCTGAAATAGCTGTAGTGTATGCGATTATTCTTAATGACCTTTAATTTGATACATTCTTTTACTAGTATGTGATTTTTACTAATGGATTGGATGGGATCACCTGCTTTTATATGCTTTTATGTGTGCTCTCACATCTTTCCCAAAATGCCACTCTAAGGGTCTAATCATTGCGTATACACACAGCTGCCACTACAGGATGTATTTCTCACTTGATAATATTTATTTTACTACATACTAGGATTGTTTCTTCTTAATCAATTTTTGTTATCCTGATTGTATTGAGAATATATTGAATGAGAATAAAATTTATGTCTAATAAAAAAAATCCATTGCTTATTGATGGTTGTTTGTCTGATGATGACATTGAAAAAACCCATGTTTTAAATTTCCTTTTTTCTTTTTGTTCTTTCAAGGAATTTTTTTGATTAATATGTTATAAACATTTTAAAACCAGATTCCTACATTATCTCATTATTTTCCAAATTGTTTAACAATTAATATTATTTTAAAACATAAAATCATTGTTATATTATTTGTGTAAAATGATGTAGTTTATAGCCTCTCATTATTTCAAATAATTTTTATTATTATCCCATCCAACTGTATATAACTCATTGTTACATAGTTTGATTTTTTTAATGAACCTCTAAGTTTTGTTTTGTCATGATCAGATAAAATCATTTGTCTTTATGCAAAACACAGCAACAAATTACCAGTAAGTCAACACTGTGAGTTGAGGTATTTTTGAACTTACCGCCTCTGTAGGTAATCTTATTATTCCGATTATCAGACGTATAATAAACACATTATAAAGCAAATCTAAACACTTACATTCACATGGGAACAGAAAAGGTGTGCTGCTGAAATGTCTGAACATGGACAATTTTATAAGGATAAATATATGTAGCCCTTTTCCTCATAAAATGCACAATTGCTAACATATGTGTGCTTACAAAACAGGTCTTAAGGGATACAGTTTTACAACAGAAAAATGGGCCTTCTTGATCACTAAATAAAAGGGTAAATATACTGAAGTTTGACTTCTGTGCCAAACTAGCACATACCCTATCATATACTGAGTGGTAATCTAATGATTAAAGTTGCTTTGCATAACAAAAAGTTGCTTTCCTTAATAAAAAGATTGCTGGTTACATGGGTTTACTGCCATGTTTTTCACTTACAATGGGATGACACACTCTGGAAAGAAAAAAAAAAAAAGATCAACAGACAATGCATTTGATTGTTTACTCTTTATACCAAGCCTCTGTTGCCTTCTATTTTTCCTCCTGCACAGTTTTTTTTATCCCTAGAAAGAAACTTTTACATAGTAAGACATTTTTCTACCATCAAGCTACATTTCATCTGCAAGCCTTTCCTTATTTTTAAATAATCTACATAGGCATCCCCAATATCTTACTATGAAATGTGTAAATTTATGTATCATTTATGTAGACTATTCTTATTGAAACTAGTTCTTAACAATGACATTCCAGTTTTGCCAGTTTGTCCTTTAACTGTTAGAATCAGCTTCTGAGGCTGTTACAATCACTTCAAATTACTATTAAACTTTAAAGAAAAGTCTATGAAACAATAAAGCACCTAAGTTCACAAAGTCTTAGGAGAAAAAAAATAGTTTCTAAAGCTGCATCATTGTATTTAAAACTACACATAAACCAATCAGATGTTCTAAGTTTGGGTTTAGCATACTGTATTGAGTGTCCTAGCCAATTTATCTTTGTCTGATAATAGATAGTCACATATTTCCAAAAAATTTGCTTATCAGTCAGTGTACTTCTGCATGTACTTTACAGAATTTATCTTCTGGGGAAAACAACTTTGAATAATTAATTCTAATTTAGTCAATGAGTTCATAGCAGGTCACACCATTACACAATGGTGTGTAATGCTTCTTGAACATGCTCAGTGTCATTGATAATTCAAAGCATGGCGAGGCCATAGAGTTTTAGAAATCAGTGACAAGCCATGGCTTTTCTAATCTGTTGCAAAAAAGTTAACACACTCTTGAGGATTTGTAATCATTCATCAGTGAGGAGCATGACTCTTGGACATAAGGCCTCATTCTTACTATGATTTATATTCACATCTTTGTCTATGTCTGAGGCAACAGCTCTATTCTATATTCTGCTGCTGTGTCCCAAGAGAAAGCTGGTATTTTAAGAATTCTGTTCCAGAGAAGAGAAATAATTAAAATGTAAGTCCTGGAAACACAGGAGAGAAACCTAGGATAATTGTGAACAAGGCCACTAGAAAGAATATCTTAGATCTCTGGGTACTGGTAATGTCAATGATTGCTGTTGTTTTTGAGGTATGCAAAGGAATTATGTTACATGTTATGAATATATGTAATGAAAGAAATATTTTCTTTTAAATTTCATTATTTCTTACCTTCACTCTCACTTTGGATTTATGTTGCATTAGTTTAATTACTATATTTTTTATAAATTATACACGGGAGATATAATTATGCTACAAGTTGTACAAAGATGAACAGAGAATATAGCAGGGCTATTAAAATTTTGATTTGTAATACACTGACCTGATGGGATGTATGTGTATTTTAAGGCTCCAATAATGTTGACAAATGTATTTAATCAAAACAAAACAGAGTAAAGCCATAGGAATTGATCATTGAAATATTCAGCTTCATTTCATAAGTAAATAGTTGTACTCTGTAACTATTAAGTATAAACTGTACCCAGATGTTACAAGGATGCTGGTGTTTGCATGTTTTATATTTCACTTGATGAAGTGTTACTCTATTAAATAAATATACTAGTACTGTCTTTCTATCTGTTGTTCTCTCTCTCTGCCTCTTTCTCTCTCACAGTTTCTCTCTGTTTCTCTCTCTCTGTTTCTCTCTCTCTCTCTCTCTCTCTCTCTCTCTCTCTCTCTCTCTGTGTGTGTGTGTGTGTATGTGTGCTTGTTTATGTCTGTAGTTGTCTTTGTATATCAACATGAGTTTAGAATGCCACAGAAGCCTGAGGTATTTGGTGACCCCTAGATTGACAGGTTGCTATGTGCCACCTGAAGTTAGTTTTAGGAATTCAACTATGACCTTTTGGTAATTTAATTTTTTTCAAAGTTAAGTTAGCCTTACATCAAATCAAACATCGTACAAAAAGTTAGTTATAATATATGATTTTGGCTCACAATCAAAACCAAAGTAACTTAGTGGTTGCACTAAAGCTAAAATAATTGCCATATATTATAATAGATATCAAACTTGCATAATTATGAGAAAAGTCAATGAGTATAAAATGTGTCCAATTCTAAGTTTTATGGATAGTTTTGTATATTAAAGACCAAATTCTTGTTTGAAAGCAGTGTAAGAGGAAAGTACAAATAAAGTGGAGAAAGCTCACGCTATTAACTTACCAGCACACCTTAACGCTCTAGAACAAAAAGAAACAGACTCAGCCAGGAGGAGTACATGACAAGAAGTAATCAAACTGAGGGCTGAAATTAATAAAATAGAAACAATACAAAGAATCAATGAAACAATGATCTGGTTCTTTGAGAAAATCACCAAAGACAAACCGTTACTTAAACTAATCAAAAGACAGAGAGCAAACATTCCAATTAACAGAATCAGAAATGAAAATGGAGATATATCAAAAAAAATGAGCAAGGAAATCAGGAGAATCATTAGGCCATACTACAAAAATCTGTACTCAACAAAAATGGAAAATGTAAAAAAAAAAAGAACAATTTTCTGGATAGGTCCAACATATCAAAATTTAATTAAGACCAGGAGAACAATTTAAATAGAACTACTTGGAAGGAAATAGAAGCAGTCATCAAAATCCTCCAAATCAAAGTAAGCCCAGAGCTGGACCGTTTCAGTGCAGAAATCTACTAGAACTTCAAGGAAGAGCTGATACCTATACTCCACAAATTGTTGCACATAATAGAAACAGAAGGAACAATGCAAAACTCTTTTTTACAGTTACTCTGATACTGGAAAAATGTAAAGAATCAACCAAAAAATAAAAATTACAAACCAATGCCCTTCATGAGCACTGGATGTTGAAGTAGGTCGAATCTAAATTTTCTGTGACACCACCCTACTGATTTCCAGGTTCTGGTTATGACAAATAATGCTGCTATAAGCATAGTTGAACAAATGTCCTTGTAGTATGATTGAGCATGCTTTGGTTATATGCCACTCAGCTGAAGAATGAATAAAGGAAATGTGGTACATTTACACAATGGAGTACTTCTCAGCAGAAAAAAAAAGTGATTATCTTGAAATTTGCATGCAAATGGATGGAACTAGAAAAATCCATCCTGAGTGAGAAAACCCAGTTCCAGAAAAATGAGCATGGTGTGTAGTCACTCATAAGTGGATACTAGCCGTAAAGAAAAGGATAGCAGGCCTTAAGTCCACAACCCCAAGGTGAAAGCCTGAGAGAAACAGATATAGAACCCCCTGGGAAGGGGAAATAGATAAGAACTCTTGAGAAAATTTGAAGCATGAGGGTGGGGGAAGAAGAGAGGGTGGAAGAGAAGGAGGGCCGGAGAAGAGGGAAAATAACTTAAGGAAACAGGATAGTCGAGATGGGGAAAGGACAGAGACAGAGAGCAAGGAAGGCGATATCTTGATTGAGGGAGCCATTATGGGGCTAGCAAGAAACCTGGAACTGCAAAAATTTCCAGGAATCCACAAGGATGACCCCAACTAAGATGCTAAGCAATAGTGGAGAAGATGCTTGAACAGGCCTTGCCCTGTAATCAGATTGATGCCTATCTTAAATGTCACCATAGAACCTCCATCAAGCAACAAAGGCAGAGATCCACAGCAGAGCACTGGGTTGAGTTATCAAAGTCCAGTCGAAGTGTGAGGTCAAGATCATGATGGGGATACACATTGGAACAGCTTACCCAAATTAATGGGAGCTCATCAACTCCAGCTGGACAAGAAAGGAGCCAGCTTAGGACCAAACTAGAGCCTCTGAATGGGGATGTCAGCTGTATGACTGGGGTGGACTACAGGATCACGGGCAGTTGAACCAGGATTTATCCCTGCTGCTTGTAATGGTTTTTTGGAACACATTCTCTTTGGAGAAATTTTGCTCAGGCTATATATAGTTGGGAGGACCTTTGTCCTTCCTTAAAGCAATGTCATTTAACTTCTCAGAAGAGTGGATTGGGGATAGGAGAAGAAAAATGGAGAGAACAGGAGGAGGGAAGAGGGTGGGAACTGTGATAGGTACAAATGATAGAAAAGATAGCTTTTGTAAATAAAATAAAAAATGTATAAATTTTCAAGAATTAGGAGAAGATATATTTATTATATACACTGATAAATGATAGAAAATTCATAAATTGGTTGGTAATATGAAAATAAATAGGTAGCAAAATTTTAAGTATCTCATATTTTTATTATTTATGATATATTTTCTCGAGTTGAATGAAAATATTATTTGCTCATTTTCAATTGCTTTGCACCTCTAATTATAACAACCTAGAAAAGTTTTCCTAAACTTCATTCAGCTAAATATAAAAACAGTATTTTGGGATTCCCCCTGACACATGGCAGCCGCCCAACGTCTACCTGGAGACTAGCATGGGGATCATTGTGTTGGAGCTGTATTGGAAGCATGCTCCAAAGACCTGTAAGAACTTTGCAGAGCTGGCTCGGCGGGGCTACTACAACGGCACCAAATTCCACAGGATCATCAAGGACTTCATGATCCAAGGCGGTGACCCAACAGGGACAGGCCGCGGTGGCGCATCCATCTATGGGAAACAGTTTGAAGACGAACTTCATCCAGACCCGAAGTTCACTGGGGCTGGGATTCTTGCGATGGCCAATGCAGGGCCAGACACCAATGGCAGCCAGTTCTTCGTGACCCTCGCCCCCACTCAGTGGCTGGATGGCAAACATACCATTTTTGGCCGAGTGTGCCAGGGTATAGAAATGGTGAATCGAGTAGGCATGGTGGAAACAAACTCCCAGGACCGTCCTGTGGATGACGTGAAGATCCTTAAGGCGTACCCTTCTGGGTAGAGGAGATGCTGTCTCGGGCACACCCTGGTCTTCTAAGATGCTCCTAGTGAGCCATCTTCTGGATGACATAGAGTGCCATGTGTTGGGGTCATGCATATCGACTCTGACACCCTCTGGACAAGTGAAGCAGAGGGCTCGTCTTTGGGGCGTTTGTATTCTGGTCAGCAGTCACAGACTTGGAAAGCAGGCGGTGTTGTGGCGCTGACTGCACAGCCCCTTCCAGCCTCCGGCGTGTGCTCTTCCAGGAATATGCACAGCTCTCTCTTCTCCCTCGGAGCCTGAGCGTCAACACTGCCGCTTCTGACACTAAACATCCCACGCAAAGCCAGTTTGAATTTTTGCCAAATGAAAAACGCACCCAACAATTAAATTGCTAAGAAGCTGTCAAGTGGGGAATGATAATGTATAATGATGGAGAAACGGATCTTTGAGATGGAAGCAGAAGCGTTGGCCATTTGCCCCCTGGGAAGGACTGGCAGTCACTGAACACAAGGCCAGTCCTTCAAGAACCTTGCTTACATACAGTGACATTTTTAGGGCTTTAGAGAAAGTAGGTAAGAGGTGTTTATACATGACATCTTTGTCTTTTGTCTTTCTGGATTTGCAGGGGCCATGGGGGTGACAGGAAGGATGTTAATACTTTGGAATACATAGACGTTTCCAGAATAAAGTACCATTGGTGGCTGAAAAAAAAAACAGTATTTTGATTATTAGTTCCAAAAATTTCTGAGTATCATCTTTCCCCTTTCTCTACTTCCTCCTTTAAACAGACCTGAGATGCTTTCCCCACATTGATGTTTTGTACGTGCTTAACATGAACCACAATATGGAAATACCCTTCTAAGCTGTTCTTTCAGGTTCATTGTCAAAGCAATAAAAATTTGTGATTCTTTATTTTTGGGTATGTATATTGATTATTTTCTTTTCTTTTGTCAGCTTCAAACTTACTTTGTAATTACCACGATTTTGAGGCATTTCTCCATGTGGGATTCCTGACTTGTGTCCTTAGGCCTGACATCCTCTTTATATTTTTAAGTAATTTTTAAGGAATAACAAGAACACGTAAAATTTTTATATAAAAATCTCAGTGTATCAAATCATATCAGCTACATGAAAGAAGAAAAATAAATTCTGTGAGTCTGTATATATATATATATGTATATATATATCCACATATATTTGAACATGAATATACTGTGTGCATTATTTTTGCATCATGTGCAAATCACTATTAAATGGGTCAGATATATTTGTTCATCAGGCAGAACTTATCAGTGTAAATGAAGTCTAACTGAACATAACAGAAGTTACTGATTAGTTATGGATATATTTATTGGGGGTTATATGTGAGCAATCATAGGGAACAATGCAAGAGGGGATGGCAAGGTCTATTTGAACTTCAAAATCATTTTTTTCCTTCTATATCACATGTTCCAGCATTATATTTTTTATTTTAACAGAAAATAGTGATTGATGCCACATGCAAATTTATGTGAAAGCAAAATTTACAAGTGCCATTTTAATTTTCATTAATTGTACATAAATAGTAAATAACCGAAAATATTCTTATTGGTACTTGATAAAAAATGACAAAAAGATCATGGTAACATTGTAAATAAAACATTGCAAATTCTGACTATTAGCATTCAAGGTTTATCCTGTAATATATTACTTGAAATTTTGATCAAATACTGCTTCTAGACTGTATATATTTATTTCACAAATATATTTCTTAAACTTTTAATTATTGAGCCTTTCCTTCCTTTATATTTTGTGATTTAATTTCACCATAAAATATCCTGGGTTCATGAACTTGATCTTTGGAGCCCATTACATGTGGTGAGATAAGTTGCTCAGCATTGATACAAGGGAGTGGCGTGGTCCTAGCTCAACTCAGTATAGCAGAATTTGTTAACTTCCAAAGAAAGGCTCTACCTCCTCTGAGGAGTGGATGGGAGGAGATAGAAGAACAGGAGAAAGGGGGAATTGGATCTAGTATGTGAAATATAAAAAAAATGTCAAACTCAAAAGATAACAACAGTATTTTTTTTAAATCAATGGTAAAATTAAAAACCTATCAAAAGAATAATTAGGTCTTTTCATGTCGGTGTGGTTTTATTAAGAGGAAAAGAATCCTCACCTATTGAAAAAATTAATTGAAAGTTAAGAACAATTAGAAAATGTTGCATCTTAAATGCTTCTTTGGAGAATAAGCATACTTTCAAAATTGCAATGATTAGCTACATATTCGCCTGCATCATCTTGCAGTCCTCTCTGTGAAATGAGTTTTTTAAAAGTTATTCATTTCCAATGGAGTTTCTAATTGTCTTAATGGCATTGCTGAGTACTGGTTTCAATTAGAGTGGTAGAGTGGATAGATTTAGTGCTTCATAAGGTTTATGTGCAGCATTCCATCAAGCTTTTTATTAGTAGAGTGATAAAGGCTTAAGTTAGAAGGGAAATTGCCATTGGACCATCAAACTTTGCTTTATAATTTTTTTCATTGCCAGTTGGTTGGAGCAATCCACTTCCATTTGCTCATTTTTCTGTTTTATTTTTAAGACCCATGGTGGGGAAATGGAATACGAATTAATAATTTATTAAATTTTCTTCAAAGAACGAGATGAAAACAATTAAATTCAATTAAACTTTTAAGAAGTTGATTCTAGATACATTCAGAGAGTCCGGTTTGATGACATGCTCATTCAGTCCCAGTCCAGCTGCCCTTGGTGAGCTCCCATTAGATCATTCCCACCATCTCCATAGGTGGACACATCCCTCACGATCCTGACTTCCTTGCTCATGTTCTCCCTCTTCTGCTCTTCATCTGGACCTTGGGAGCTCAGTCCAGTTCTCCAATGTGGGTCTCTGTCTCTATCTCTATCCATCGCCAGATGAAGGCTCTATGGTGATATGCAAGATATTCATCAGTGTGGCTATGGGAGAAGGTCAGTTCAGGCACCCTCTCCTCTGCTGCCCTAGGACCTAGCTGGGGACATCTGTTTGGAAACCTGGTGCGGGAGAATTGTCTGTATTCTGTCAGTCATGTTTTAAATAAACGTTGATTGGCCAGGCAGGAAGTATAGGCAGGAAAACCATACAGGAAATAGAAATGATGCAATTAGAGCAGGAGAATTGTGGGAAGGAAGAAGTTGATTCCTCCCACTCCTGCCCAGATCACCAAAGCTGCAGGATGTGACTTGCCAGCTGAAAAAGGTACAGAGCCATATGGCTAAAATAGATCAGAATAATGCATTAATATAAGTCATAAGAGCTAATAAGAAACCAGAGCTAATGGGCCTATCAGCTTATAACATATAGAGACCTCTGTGTGATTTTCTTTGGGGCTAAACAGCTGTGAGAACTGGGCAGGACAGGAAACCACAACAAGCAGGTTCCCTCATGTTACAGACACCTGCGAACCTATCTAGAGCCAAGTCTCTTGCCAACCCAAAATGGCTTCCTTAATTAAGATATCTTCTTCCCTGCTCCCATATCCACCCTTCGTCCACCTCAACCATCTCATTCCCTCAAGCTCTCCCCAATCTTTCCCTTCTCCCTTCTCACTCCCCAATTCCCCTTTCCCCAACCCCTACCCATGTGCTCCCAACTTTTGCCTGGCAATCATGTCTACTTCCAATATCCAGGAGGATAACTGTATGTTTCTTTGGGTTCATCTTCATATTTAGCTTCTATAGGATTATGAATTATAGGCTCAATGTCCTTTGTTTATGGCTAGAATCCACTTATGAGTGAGTACATACCATATTCATGTTGTTGGGTCTGGGTTATCTCACTCAGTAAAGTGTTTTCTATTTCCATCCATTTGCATGCAAAATTCAAGATGTCATTGTTTTTTACTGCTGAGTAAAACTCTAAAGTGTATATGTGCCACACCTTATTTATTCATTCTTCTATTGAGGGACACTTAGGTTGTTTCCAGGTTCTGACTATTACAAATAGTGCTCTATGAACATAGTTGAACAAATGCTTTTGTAATCTGATTTGGCATCTCTTGGGTATATTCCCAATGATGGCAGACTGAGAAACCAATGATAATGACACTGGATTTTGACTCTACTGCATGTACTGGCTTTTTGGGAGCCTTGTCTGTTTGGATGCACAGCTTCCTAGACCTGGATGGATGGGAAAGGGCCTTTGACTTCCCACAGGGCAGGGCACCCTGACTTCTCTTAGGACTGGAGAGGGAGAGGGATGGAGAGTGGGAGGAGGTAGGAATATTTAATAAATAAATAAATTTTAAAAAAGAAGTTGATTCTATTTAATTGGTACTAAATATTATTAAAAAGCCAATTCAATACAGTATACCCTTTCATATCTAATGAAATACCAACCTTAGACAAGGACTTATGGGTAACTGGTACTTTCTGGGAGATCATTCTCTTTAAGAACATGACCCCAATTTTATCTAACATGTTCCAGTAGATGGCCACTAGCATTTACTAGACTAGTGGGTTTAGTATCAGCATTCAAACAGATCAGGTTGTACTTATGTGATTTGGAATACACACAAAAACACAAAATAGAATAAAATAGAATAAAACAAGCAAACAAATGTATAATGAAAAAAGAGGTCATGAATTTTAAAGCAAGAAATTTGAACTAATTGGGGTTTGGAGGAGAAAAGGAAAGAAGAAAAGTAGCAAGAACATAACAATCTAAAAAAATAAAACAAATAAAAATTCGGAAATATAAAAGACTTTTCAAAGTTAAACTAATATGGAAATGGGGAAAGAGTCTCAGAGGAGAAATGGGAGAAAATGAAGAAGCCCAAGTATTAAAAAAATACAAATAAATTCAATAAATAAGCATAAATTTAAAAGTAGGAATAATAAAGACCCCAAAATATTTAGAATTTAAAAGAAATGAAGTTACCTAAAAGTATAATTCATAATAAAATTTTGATGTTTATTTTAGAGAACACATTTCCATTCTTTAGAACAGCTAACTCACTACATCTGTAGAAATAGGAATTACAAGGCTTCCCTGTGGCTCTCTGCTTCCTCTGCTGCTATTACTGTTTTTTATTTTGATGACTGTCATATATCATAAAACTGTCTGTGACATGTTTCTGTTTTAAGCAAGTGGAATTGTGATTATGAAGATTCTTCAGTGAATGCTTCAATAGGTTACAAAGATGAATAATGCATCATTTTTATTATTCATCGAAAACTTGGGTAGAATCATAGATATTCAGTATTGCTGGCCAATCAAAGAGAATAACATGGTATGTATTTATTTATTTGCTTCCTGTTAAAATAAACTTTTAAATGATTCATCCCCATAACAGAAATAAAAGCATATGTTTTCTTTATTA